GAGCTCCAAAAGGGCTTTCTCAACAGCATCAGCAACCTGCCTTTACCGGCTTGCTGGGCAGTGGTGAACCTGGGCTACAGATCCCGAACACAGCCGGTGCCTTGTGCCTCCAGCACAAACAGCACACCTGCCGGCACTACGGGACAAACTCCCACAGGTTTGTCCCATGCATTTTGACATCTCCCAGAAGACTGGCAGCTCTACTTTCACTTCCCCTTTGTGCTTGGGAACACACAAACTGCTGGCACTAGTGGGATGCTCTCCAGCAGGACCCATGTCCAAAACAGATCCTCCCCTCTACCACCTCAAGCCCCCCACTGTTAACACTTTGGGCAAATGTGTACGTACTTCAGCAACTTCCCATATAATACAGACTTGTTGGCTAAATATTGATGAGGGATTAGAGCACTGGATTTCTCTGTATCAGACCTGGACTGCACAAGTTCCTTACTTTTTTAGAGGTCTGAACTCCAAGCAGAGGGAAAAATACCACTGGCATGAGGGAGGTGACAGACAGGGGGATCACTTCAGTGCACCAGTACACAGCCATGATGATGATGATATATGCACATCTGGCCTCCTGCAACATAACAGAAGACACATTGAAGCATTAGAAACTGTTTCTAAAGATAAGAAACACATTGGTAGCTCTTAAAAGTGGCTCACACACTCCACTGTCTGTAGCTTAACAAGTTATGCTCAATGAGGACTTAAGCTTGTGCTCTTAAATAATGTTCTGAAGTCACTTGTATAAAAAAGATCTTTTTGACCAAGAAGACCATAGTGTTTGCTTTAATACAACCACACAAAATAAATGCTGTGAGAAAGACAAATCTTCCACCACTAGGTAAGTGCACAGTTTGCCGTGTAAAAGTACCTCTTGGTGGTTGAGGTCAGCAGATTTTACATCTAGGAGCCAAGAACAGCAATATAGAGTTAATTTTTTTCATGGATGGCCAAATTTCCCAGTGTGGATGATTAGCTTTTCTGAAATTCACAGGTCTTTGATGTATGTCCAGTAACACAGTTGAGCTCAGAAACTATTTCACTGAATAATTTAAAATTTCTTTGCTTTTTAAAGGAACCCCTAAAGTAAAACTCTTTTTTTGTGTGTGTGGCTAAGCACATTAGAGGTGTTAAACTATTTTCCCATGTCATATTGTCCCTACGTGCTAAGGTGTTTCCCTAGTTTAGAATTGTTGTAACCTGCCTTTTTGGGCTGTTGACCAGGCATTTCTGTATCCCAGCCTTCTGTGGTTTGTACTCTAAAATTTGTCACGGGAAGCAGGTATTCATTAGCTAACAGTGAACTGCTTGAAAGCTGAAGTCGGTGTTCTGTTGCTCACTATTTGCTCCTATTTAGGGTATGTGTTTATGGGATTTTACTCTAATACAACAAATGTGACTTTATTGCTAAAGTAAATGGTGTGACAGTGACAGTTAAAAACTGACATCAGGTGTTATTAGTAAGAAGGGGTGTATTTTCGTTAATTTTGTTGAGTGTTGGGGAAAAAGTTTAAGAACCAGAAAACACCTTTTGTAAGTAATGTGAATTTTTTTCCCTCAAGTTTCCAGGTTAATTACAGCACAAGTTTTGAAATGAAAAATTCTTCAGAGACTAGAAGATATCAGGCAGATGCTGTAGAAGTCTCTTCCCTTTATAAATATGAGGCCAGCTCATGATATAATTCATGCTGTACTGCAGTAATGCAAGGGTAGAACTGACTGTGGTTAATCTGTTGCTAGTATGAAAGACAGATAAACAACTCTAAGTGAATAAAATTCAAAATCCTGGCTTTAGAGAGTAGAGAGTCAATAATTTATGTGAGCCTTGCTTATAATTTAACTCCAGCAACTGTGGCCAATTCAAACAACAAAAGATTTGGAATTAAATATATATTTGTATTTATACCTACATATTTATAGGTATAAATACATATATATTTATGGCATTAAATGTATATATTTATGGAAACAGTCACAGAATGTCTCTTTGGTGTTTCTGTGTGGTTGACACAAAACACAGTGGCCTGACTCCTGGCTGAGAGATGAAAAAGCAGTCACTGACAGAAATATTGCCTTTCCATTGCGAAACACTGTAATTTCTTAGGTTAGACTAATGACAAAATATGCCTACAAATATTGGCAAACTGAAGACATACTTAATTTTTTTGGAAATTATCTTTCCTAGTTTTGATCAAAGTAGAGCTTAACAGTCAGGAATTCCTCATTGTATAAAGCACCACCATTCAACCGAAAGGCCAGGCCGGTATAACTTAGACAGGTAAACAAGAAAGGTTGGCAATTTGGTTTATAAAGACAGATAAAATTTTCCCGCACTTTAAAACAGATTGAGCGATACCAGTTGCTCAAAAGAAGGGCTGGCTTTGGCATTAGAATAGCCTCCAAAGCTCTAGTAGGCTAAAACACTGCAAACTCAGCTTTCACACTTGATCAAGAAGGCTACAAGGCATTAAAAGCTCAAACTTTCCTGGGTTATCCCAATTTTACGCTGGTGTAACTCCACTGAACGCAAAGGAGTTGTGCCTTCGCCATCCCTGGAGTAAGATGGATGAATTGGAAGACATGGCATTTGAAATCCCGACCAATTCGCACAGCACAACGCTGACAGCATCAGGATGGAGAATGTCACCAAGCAACGTGCTAGGAGTACCAGACCCTCAGCAGAGAGCTGGGGGAAGCACTCCTGCCCTTCCGCCGACTCCCCTCGCTAGGACATAATCCCAATGCCGGCCAGCTACGCCTGGGCTTGTCCTGGCCCAGAATGAATTGCCTCTAATTGTCACGGTGGGTTGGGTGCCGCCGGGAGGGCCCGGAGCCGGGCGGAGTGGGGTCACCCGGGGGCAGCAGGCCCGGAGCCGGGCTCTCTTCACCTACCTTCGTGGGCACGACGAAGGGCAGCGGCAGCAGCAGCAGCGGCGTGAGGAAGAGGATGGCGAAGAAGCGGTACCTCAGCAGGGGCTGCAGGCACGTCGGGGCCATGCTCTGTGGGGTGACACGGTCAGGGCGCGAGCGCGAGCAGCGCCCGCCGCCGCCGCTTTAAGTACGGGGCGGGAGGGACGGGAGGGACCCGGCCGCGGGCGACACGTCCCGCCCGCCCCGCCGGGGCCGCCCCGGGCAGCGGCGCGGCTGAGCTCGGCAGCGAACGAGCCTCCGGAGCGGCCCGGCCCCGCTCCGACCCGCCCTCCCTGCCCTGCCGCGACCCCTCCCCTGCGGCCCCTCGGTGCCGAGGAGAGCGGCTCCATGGCTGCGTGTCGGCCACCGGCGCCGTCGGGACAGCGCGGAAGGAGCGCTCTCCCTGCTCGCAGAGCGCCACAGAGGCGCCGGCACGCACAGGCTCCCGCAGCGCGGGATGCCCCTACCCTCCTGCTCACCACAAGCCAGCCCTGAGGCCCTGCAGCCAGGAGGGCTCTCTCATGCCATGCCTCGCTCCTCAGGGTGCCGCAGGCTCCCTCTGCTCCTGGGCTGGAGCATGCCTGGGTGCTGGGGCAGAGGCCACACAGGGATGGGGTGGAGGAACCCTGCCACCTGCTGATGTAAATCAAACTTATATGGGAAAGAAGGAAACTGTGATCCCAGAGTTCCTCTAAGGACTAGGAAATTAATCTGTGTGTGGAACTGCCAGTGAAAATCAAACCCCAATACTTGTCTGGCAATGCTGCTGTTTTTCCTTTAAAAAATGTTTTGGCTAAACAACTGTTGGGGGTGGAGTTACTGCAACAGAGCCTTTGAGTTTCAGGTTTTTTTTCCTCTCTGCTCTTAGAAGAAAGGATATCCAGCAGAATAAAAAGAAAAATGTCAGGAGAGAGCAAGTTGTGCAAAAATTGGTAAGAGATCTTCACTCCTACAAAGTGGGGATTTCAAGAGTTTCTAGGATTTTCCTTAGTGTTATCTGGGTCTCCTGTAAGAGAGGTAGCAGAGGAAGAACCACATGGCAGGAGTATGCTAGCCATTGAGTAGGAAACAGAAGTATTTTGTATGCATTTCACATTCCTGCTCTTTTGCTGCTTTGATGTGCAGAGGTTTCTTTCACAGCCTTCTCCCTTGCTGCATGTTCTCTCTTTTCAGAACACCACTGTGGGCGATTTTGCAGTATCTGGCAGAGGGAGGTGTCAGGGCATAGACAATGGCAAACCCAGCAGCTGCCTCAGTTTCCCTCCATGACTGATAATTCTTTTTCTTTATATGTTTGCAATTAAGCGATGAAACATTCATCTCTTTGTTCAGGGTAATTGGCCACCTCGCATAGAAGAGAGAAAAATGAAAGGGGCCATGAGGATCATAGAACCTGGTGTGTTTTGAACAGTAGCAAGGCCATTGGACAAACTCTTCAAAAGAAAGATGATTAGCTTTCCATCTCCCAGAAGACACTACATTCCTATCAACCCAGGGACTCCAATGCCACATGTTCCATATCACCTCAAGCTCTTAAAGACTCAGTCTTTTGACATGCTGGTGACCTGTGACTATTGCAACATTCTGCTGCCACTTCCAACCCTTTGTAAACACGAGAAGTGACACACTGGCCTCGGCTTCCTACAAAGGGTGTACTTACACAGTCACAACTGACCTCCCGAATGCCCAGGACCCTGTAGCAATGGGGAACAAAGGGGCATGGACCTCCTTACGGGTCCGGAGAAGATCCCGTTCCTGCAGAAATCGCAATATGCCTCTAATGTCCACCAGACACAACTGAAGGCCAACTGAGGCCAACAGAACTTAACAGAAGAAGGGCCCCCATTGGCTGGCTCAGCTGTGGCGCTGCTGCCCACGCGTCCTATCACCCAATCAGCTTGCTGCTCATGGCTGGCTGCGCGTTCCTCCAGCCAATCACAACCTCCCTCAACTGACCCTCTCCTCACTCCTAACTGCCTCACAGCCCCCAGCCGACCTTCCCCGCTGCGTCTGGCCTGCAGCTGGGCCGTTCCACAGGGCCTTCTGCTGAAGCTCGGCCCTAAAGATGGTGGGGTGCATTCATCTATGCAGGTGTGCAGCATGGTTTTAGGTTCGCCATGGGAAGGGCTGGCTGGCTAGGTGCTGGAAATGCTGTGAGAGGTATTTGTGGACAGAAGACAAAGCTCCTTTTTGCTGAATGAGCAGCCACGGGCTGAGCCCTCTCAATTAGAATACATTAAACCCTGCATGCCATGACTTGAGTGAACCACTGAACCCAGGACCAGCACAAACACCTTCATCTCAGGAGATGGCAGAAACATCCAGGGATAACTAAGAGTTTTTGTCTCCTGAAATGCAAGTGAAAACTGATAAGAGTCCAATGGCAGCAAAGTTAAACGTGCAGGGAGAGTGGATGCTCATGGGACAGCAAACAGGCAGGAACAGGTGGGTAAAGCACACATCAGCCCTGTTACCCCAAGAGCACTGCACATTATCTTTGTGCTCCGTCACAGGTTATTGTGAGGACACATGGGGTCACACCTCGTACTGCAGCACCAAGGTTGCTGTGCCTGAAAAGGGCCGCAAAACTGCCTCAGATCGCAGGGCTGGGCTTTAGCCTTCCAGCCCTTCCCTTCGCAGTGGCGGGAAAACGTGGCCTACTAGAGAGGCGTTTCCTCCGCGAAGGCCCACGGGGTGTTTGGCACTTGGTG